TGTGCGCTTCAACTTTGAATTTTCCCCAATGTGGGACTAATAAAGGATCTCTTATCTTGTCTTTTTCGGCGAAGAGGATAAAATGATGGTAAAAAGCACATTAAATGTATGATTGGAGCTGCTATTTCTCCTTTTTTTAGTTAAATAAATACTGAAAAACATCTTATTTCTGTTACATAAAATGCACACATAGTTAATATGGAATTAGTTAATGTGATCATTAATATAGATAAGATCAAGAAAAGAAAAATCATTTGTTTTCTGCTCTGTCTTCCAGATTTCCTCTGAACGACAAGAAGAGACTGGCACAATGGGTTGCAAGAGTGAGGCGTAAGAAATGGGCGCCAAATACCAACTCCAGGCTGTGTGCTGCTCACTTTGCCGAGGAAAGTTTTTTGGTCAAAGGTGGGAAACAGTGCCTTACTCCATCAGCTGTTCCTACTATTTTTGACTATTCCCTCAAAAGGTCAGTTTGTATCAGCTCAGAAATTACCCAGCATTGCCTTTGCTGAACCCATCACAGGTAAGGATCACATATGCAAGTAAATTTGAGAACATTGAGCTGACTGAAGACAAAGTTATTGAGTTTGACCAAGACACACAAAGCTCAGCAGTGACATGTCCTCAACTCATGAGCCACAACACTCACCCCCTCCTAAAACAGCAGTTGCGTTACATTCTACAAGCCAGGTACATCTGTTGGAAGATGGAAACACCGGAGTGGATGAATTACACATTCAGGACAGCGAGCTAACTCAAGACAGGGATATTGAAAAACTCCAGTTCTCTCCCCAGATCACACGTTTTGTAAAGTCATCAATAAGTCAGGAGCATAATTATAGAATATCAGAATCACCCAAAAGTGCTAAGCGCAAGACGGAGACACAATTGGACCACTGTCGCAAAAGGCTTAGGACGGAAAAACAAAAGACAAAACGATTGAAGAAGACAATTCATTCCCATTCAGAGGTAATTGAAGAGCTCAAAGACAAACGCCTGATTTCTACGGGGTGCCCTGAAATGATGGAGAATTCTTTTAGTGGTGTCACGAAGGAAATTATTACTAGAATGGAAAAAGGCAACAAGTCAAAAGTGTCTTTCGCTTTGACACTACATTTTTACTCAGCCAAGGCCTATTCCTATGTGCGTGAGTGTTTTGAGTTGGCTTTACCTCATCCAGACACCATCAGGAACTGGTACAGTGAAGTTTCATCTGATCCTGGCTTCACAAAGGCGTCTTTTATTGCTCTTCATGTACAGGAAAGGCAGCAGTTAGGAAAGGAGACCCTTTGTGCTTTGATGATGGATGAAATGGCAATACGAAAGAAAATTGAATATAGCGCTGGGAAATGTCATGGATATGTTGACCTGAGATGCAGCGTTGTGGACGTTGTCTTCCTCCAGCAAGAGATGCTCTTGTCATTATGGCTGTTGTCATAAATGATTCCTGGAAGCTCCCAGTGGCTTATTTCTTTATTGATTCACTCACTGGTGAAAAAAGAGCAAACATGGTGAGTGAATGTCTTCGTCGACTTCACAGTGTTGCCGTACGTATTGTTTCACTAACCAATCTGTGTCCTGAATACCTCTTATTCATATAAACTATTTTGCATATCAAAATGGAATCACTCTAGTATGGACTAAAGATGTATCTTTGTGTCTGTAGACACAAAAAATGTAGTTATTCAACAAACTATTGCTCCACAAAAACCTAAAACCGTCATTTATTTCATAGCAAATGAACTGTATTTAGAGCCATGCAAGAGTTATTTACAACACATTTTAAGAGAATGAAAGTAAATCTAACTTGAACATATAGAATAGTGTTGTCACATGAATGCTAGTGACTCCTACTTCTGTTATTTTTTTTGTAAATAGAAAGATTTATTTAATACATTTAAATATGTTTCGATTTTAAGTAATTAATATGAAATTTGTAAATGTTTGATTTACAATGACCATGAGTAGAAAACTAAAGCGCGATCGAACTAAGCAATCAAAATTTATTTATTTTAAATTACAATGTGAATCCTAATCTGCATTAGCACTTCCCACATGTATTACAGCAAAACATGACTTAAAATGTGTGTTTCTCCGCTGCCTTCGACTGGCAGGGTTACAACATTCATGGTGAATACATAAAGTCTTGTGTAATCATCACGTTGGAGTTTGGTTTTGATATACTCATATTGGTATAAATGACTGTCATACGAATTCACACGACTCCAAACGCTGATGAAAGACCATACACAGACTCTTAATGAAGCTAACTCTAACAACAATACTGTCAATCTACATTTCGTGTTTATCTGGTCTGCACGCGAGCAGAGGGACTTGGCAACGTCTTGACCAATCAGTGAGCTGCTGATCAGAGCGAAGCTAGAGCGGCGTAAGAGCGGGAAAAAGAGAGCAGAGTCTGTGGCACTAAAGTGAAGATTAAAAGAAAACCTATTGATTTATAAAGAAAAAAGTTCAGGATGACAAGGGACACTAAAATCCCCACAACATCTGACCTTTATGAAAGCTGTAGGTTCTCTGTCAGCTGAGGTTGAGCTGTTTTAATATGCATTGAGTTCTATGGGGAAAATGTCTGGGTAGCCCGCGTGAATTTAGTCTGGTTCAGTCTGCAGTACCGCGAGAATCCCCCGAGCACAAGAGTTATTCAGCTACAAGCTGTAATACCCTATCCAGTTATTATAATAGATCCATGGCTCACGCTGGTATAAAACAGCAAAACTTAGACCTTGCTAACATGCTAGCAGACCTTGCTAACATGCTAGCAGACCTTGCTAGCAGGCACTTACATGTGCTGCTGGTGACACATAGGTTTTCCAAAAAATTCTGACATTAAGGAATTTTAACAAATCTACTACATTACCAAAAATATTCTATGTCGAATGAATTGGCTTAGATTAGGCTAGAAGCACAAACAGGCTAACGTTAAAGCTATCACCGGTGGACCTGTAGTCAGTGAAGTCAAATTCAGACTGAGTTCATATCAAGACAATGTAAGACAAATGTTATTCTCAATTAAATCAGACACACTCACCTTGTGGTGTTATTGTAACCCACATACAATTCCGTGGTTAAATCATTTTAAATAATATATAAGAAAATAAATGACATTTGTGAGGTCATGTGATTTTTACCTGTGTCCGGTTCCGCGTTCTCTCAGCCAATCACGCTGCGCACAACAGGTTGGTCTCGCAAACTATACTTTTTTAATCTTGATCGTTGAGCCTAGCGCTAAACCGCCGCACGCTTCGAGCATTGATAGTTCTTGCTGCGCTGTGTCATTGAGTGGAAACTGGTGAGTAAATGTTTATTTCAGTGTGTTGTTCATGTAGCACTGATGGTTTTAGCCATTGCTTATTATTGTGATGAAATCTAGCTAGTAAGAATGTGAATGTGATGGACATGTATTTATTCGGTCCTATTTATTTAAACAGCCCAGGTTTGCCGTGTCGGGTACAAATGCGATGGCGAGCTGAGCCAGAGCACCACGAACTGACAGCGGCGTTCTTTCTGCGGTCTGGCAGGAGCCGCCGTGGCCGTCTGCTCCCACCTTTTTCAGTTGAACGAACTTTATGAACGTGTTGGATCGCCTCTAAACACTGTTCTTATGGGCATTAACTTATCTGCTTCGTAAGATCTTTATCTCGGGCGATTGTGAACACCTGTCTGAATACGAATGTTTGTTTCGTTAATGTTATTTCCTGTTCCAAACCCATGTGCACTTAAGCCTAGCGTACATCGGACTGGCAACGGATTATATCCGTCGCCTCTGAGTTGCTGCCCCGCACACATCGACAATCTGGCGAAAACAGGCAACTCTGAGTAGCAGGCCAGTCTGGGGAATAACAGCGCGTACATCGACAGCAACTGGCCGTTAACTACAGTGTGTTTTCTGACATAAACTGTAGAGGGCGCTATACACGCAATGTAACAGAAACAGAGGAAGAAGATACACGCAATGTCCAAAATGGCGCACTACGAGTCGAAGGTATGTTTCCCCACCAATTCTATTTGCACTACGTGTTATACAATTCTAGCGCTCGTGATTCTTGATGAAAGTACACGAAATGTAATGAATATGCTAACGAGCATTGATAATTGAAAGTTTAATCTGTTGAAAGACTGCAGTCTGTCTCAATCAACCATTTTCTCTTTCCGATCGCAACTCGGCACACATCAACCATCATTCATCAACGATGTAAATTCAAATTCAATCCAATCCATATCTATGAATTGGATTGGATATGTTGGACGCCCAACATATCCTAATGAAGCCCTGTCTCTCCTATACACAAGTCAATATGGCATGGCCTACAGGTTTTGTATGGACTTACATCTTAATCAATAGGCTTACAATATACAATTTATAAAAAGAAAATTAGGCTATGTTTTTCTTATACAGTGCGAAAGTATTCGCTTGAACCTTTCAACATTTCACCATATTTCAGGTTTCAAACATAAAGATATAACATTTTAATTTTTTGTCATGAATAAACAACAAGTGGGACACAATCGTGAAGTGGAATGAAATTTGTTGGATAATTTAAACTTTTTTAACAAATAAAAAACTGAAAAGTGGGGCGTGCAATATTATTCGGCCCCTTTACTTTCAGTGCAGCAAACTCAGTCCAGAAGTTCAGTGAGGATCTTTGAATGATCCAATGTTGTTCTAAATGACTGATGATGATAAATAGAATGCACCTGTGTGTAATCAAGTCTCTGTATAAACATCAGAGATGTTTGAACGGAGCATAAATAACACGTTCATGTAAGTCTACGTGACAACATGAGAGAAGGAGGTCTCTGGTTCATCTCTGAGCTGCGTCCATCTCACGCTGGGAAAGAGTTTCTTTGAAAGAGTTTCTTTGAATTCTGTGAAAGAGTTTCTTCCACAGCGTAGCATCGTAAACACGTTTGCAAAAGCAAAGCATTCACCAAATGCACTGAAAACTGTCAGACACAGAACTGACACTGCCTTTAAAGAGATGGAACAGAACTGTAGAACCTCCACCTCCTCCACATCACCACCTCCTCCACATCACCACCACCTCCTCCACATCACCACCTCCTCCTCCACATCACCTCCTCCTCCACCTCCTCCACATCACCACCTCCTCCACATCACCACCACCTCCTCCACATCACCACCTCCTCCTCCACATCACCTCCTCCTCCACCTCCTCCACATCACCACCTCCTCCACATCACCACCACCTCCTCCACATCACCACCTCCTCCACATCACCACCACCTCCTCCACATCACCACCTCCTCCTCCACATCACCTCCTCCTCCACATCACCACCTCCTCCACCTCGTCCACATCACCACCTCCTCCACCTCCTCCACACCTCCACCTCCTCCACATCACCACCTCCTCCACATCACCTCCTCCTCCACATCACCACCTCCTCCACATCACCACCTCCTCCTCCTCCACATCACCTCCTCCTCCACATCACCACCTCCTCCACATCACCTCCCTCATCCACATCACCTCCTCCTCCACATCACCACCTCCTCCACATCACCACCTCCTCCTCCACACCACCACCTCCTCCACATCACCACCTCCTCCTCCACATCACCACCTCCTCCACCACATCACCTCCTCCTCCACATCACCACCTCCTCCACATCTCCACCTCCTCCACATCTCCACCTCCTCCACATCACCACCTCCTCCACACCACCACCTCCTCCACATCACCACCTCCTCCACATCACCACCTCCTCCACACCACCACCACCTCCACATCTCCACCTCCTCCACATCTCCACCTCCTCCACATCACCTCCTCCTCCACATCACCACCTCCTCCACATCACCACCACCTCCACATCTCCACCTCCTCCACATCACCACCTCCTCCACATCACCACCACCTCCACATCTCCACCTCCTCCACATCACCACCTCCTCCACATCACCTCCTCCTCCACATCACCACCTCCTCCACATCACCACCACCTCCACATCTCCACCTCCTCCACATCACCACCTCCTCCACATCACCACCTCCTCCACATCACCTCCTCCTCCACATCACCTCCTCCTCCACATCACCACCACCTCCTCCACATCACCACCACCTCCTCCACATCACCACCTCCTCCACATCACCTCCTCCTCCACATCTCCACCTCCTCCTCCACATCACCTCCTCCTCCACATCACCACCACCTCCTCCACATCACCACCACCTCCACATCACCACCACCTCCTCCACATCACCACCTCCTCCACATCACCTCCTCCTCCACATCACCTCCTCCTCCACATCACCTCCTCCTCCACATCACCTCCTCCTCCACATCACCACCCCCTCCACATCACCTCCTCCTCCACATCACCACCTCCTCCACATCACCTCCTCCTCCACATCACCACCCCCTCCACATCACCTCCTCCACATCACCTCCTCCTCCACATCACCGCCTCCTCCACATCACCACCTCCTCCACATCACCTCCTCCTCCACATCACCTCCTCCTCCACATCACCACCTCCTCCACACCACCACCTCCTCCACATCACCACCTCCTCCACATCACCTCCTCCTCCACATCACCATCTCCTCCACATCACCTCCTCCTCCACATCACCACTTCCTCCACATCACCTCCTCCTCCACATCACCTCCTCCTCCACATCACCTCCTCCGCCACGTCACCTCCTCCTCCACATCACCTCCTCCTCCACATCACCACCCCCTCCACATCACCTCCTCCACATCACCTCCTCCTCCACATCACCTCCTCCTCCACATCACCACCTCCTCCACATCACCTCCTCCTCCACATCACCTCCTCCTCCACATCACCACCTCCTCCACACCACCACCTCCTCCACATCACCACCTCCTCCACATCACCACCTCCTCCACATCACCACCTCCTCCTCCACATCACCACCTCCTCCACCTCGTCCACATCACCACCTCCTCCACATCACCACCTCCTCCACATCACCACCTCCTCCACCTCGTCCACATCACCACCTCCTCCACATCACCACCTCCTCCACATCACCACCTCCTCCTCCACATCACCACCTCCTCCACCTCCTCCACATCACCTCCTCCTCCACATCACCACCTCCTCCTCCACACCTCCACCTCCTCCACATCACCACCTCCTCCACACCACCACCTCCTCCAAATCACCACCTCCTCCACATCACCACCTCCTCCACATCACATCCTCCTCCACATCACCTCCTCCACATCACCACCTCCTCCACATCACCACCTCCTCCACCTCGTCCACATCACCACCTCCTCCACCTCGTCCACATCACCACCTCCTCCACATCACCTCCTCCTCCACATCACCACCTCCTCCTCCACATCACCACCTCCTCCACATCACCTCCACCTCCTCCACATCACCACCTCCTCCACACCACCACCTCCTCCACATCACCACCTCCTCCTCCACATCACCACCTCCTCCACATCACCACCTCCTCCACATCACCTCCTCCTCCACATCACCTCCTCCACATCACCACCTCCTCCACATCACCACCTCCTCCACACCACCACCTCCTCCACATCACCACCTCCTCCTCCACATCACCACCTCCTCCACATCACCACCTCCTCCTCCACATCACCACCTCCTCGTCCACATCACCTCCTCCACATCACCACCCCCTCCACATCACCTCCTCCTCCACATCACCTCCTCCTCCACATCACCACCTCCTCCACATCACCTCCTCCTCCACATCACCACCTCCTCCACATCACCACCTCCTCCACATCACCACCTCCTCCACATCACCTCCTCCTACACACCTCCTCCTCCTCCACATCACCTCCTCCTCCACATCACCACCTCCTCCTCCACATCACCTCCTCCTCCACATCACCTCCTCCTCCACATCACCACCTCCTCCAAATCACCACCTCCTCCACACCACCACCTCCTCCTCCACACCACCACCTCCTCCACATCACCACCTCCTCCTCCACATCACCACCTCCTCCACACCACCACCTCCTCCACATCACCACCTCCTCCTCCACACCACCACCTCCTCCACATCACCACCTCCTCCTCCACATCACCACCTCCTCCACACCACCACCTCCTCCACATCACCACCTCCTCCTCCACATCACCACCTCCTCCACATCACCTCCTCCTCCACATCACCACCACCTCCCACACCACCACCTCCTTCACATCACCACCTCCTCCTCCACATCACCACCTCCTCCACATCACCACCACCTCCTCCACATCACCACCTCCTCCTCCACATCACCTCCTCCTCCACATCACCACCTCCTCCACCTCGTCCACATCACCACCTCCTCCACATCACCTCCTCCTCCACATCACCTCCTCCACATCACCACCTCCTCCACATCACCACCTCCTCCACACCACCACCTCCTCCACATCACCACCTCCTCCTCCACATCACCACCTCCTCCACATCACAACCTCCTCCTCCACATCACCACCTCCTCGTCCACATCACCTCCTCCACATCACCACCCCCTCCACATCACCTCCTCCTCCACATCACCTCCTCCCCCACATCACCACCTCCTCCACATCACCACCTCCTCCACATCACCTCCTCCTCCACATCACCACCTCCTCCACATCACCACCTCCTCCACATCACCACCTCCTCCACATCACCTCCTACACATCACCACCTCCTCCACATCACCTCCTCCTCCACACCACCACCTCCTCCACATCACCACCTCCTCCTCCTCCACCATCACCTCCTCCTCCACATCACCACCTCCTCCACATCACCACCTCCTCCTCCACATCACCTCCTCCTCCACATCACCACCTCCTCCAAATCACCACCTCCTCCACACCACCCACCTCCTCGTCCACACCACCACCTCCTCCACATCACCACCTCCTCCTCCACATCACCACCTCCTCCACACCACCACCTCCTCCACATCACCACCTCCTCCTCCACATCACCACCTCCTCCACATCACCTCCTCCTCCACATCACCACCACCTCCCACACCACCACCTCCTTCACATCACCACCTCCTCCTCCACATCACCACCTCCTCCACATCACCACCACCTCCTCCACATCACCACCTCCTCCTCCACATCACCTCCTCCTCCACATCACCACCTCCTCCACCTCGTCCACATCACCACCTCCTCCACCTCCTCCACCTCCTCCACACCTCCACCTCCTCCACCTCCTCCACATCACCACCTCCTCCACATCACCTCCTCCTCCACATCACCACCTCCTCCACATCACCACCTCCTCCTCCTCCACATCACCTCTCCTCCTCCACATCACCACCTCCTCCACATCACCTCCTCATCCACATCACCTCCTCCTCCACATCACCACCTCCTCCACATCACCACCTCCTCCACATCACCACCTCCTCCTCCACACCACCACCTCCTCCACATCACCACCTCCTCCTCCACATCACCTCCTCCTCCACATCACCACCTCCTCCACATCTCCACCTCCTCCACATCTCCACCTCCTCCACATCACCACCTCCTCCACACCACCACCTCCTCCACATCACCACCTCCTCCACATCACCACCTCCTCCACACCACCACCACCTCCACATCTCCACCTCCTCCACATCTCCACCTCCTCCACATCACCACCTCCTCCACATCACCACCACCTCCACATCTCCACCTCCTCCACATCACCACCTCCTCCACATCACCACCACCTCCACATCTCCACCTCCTCCACATCACCACCTCCTCCACATCACCTCCTCCTCCACATCACCACCTCCTCCACATCACCACCACCTCCACATCTCCACCTCCTCCACATCACCACCTCCTCCACATCACCACCTCCTCCACATCACCTCCTCCTCCACATCTCCACCTCCTCCTCCACATCACCTCCTCCTCCACATCACCACCACCTCCTCCACATCACCACCACCTCCTCCACATCACCACCTCCTCCACATCACCTCCTCCTCCACATCTCCACCTCCTCCTCCACATCACCTCCTCCTCCACATCACCACCACCTCCTCCACATCACCACCACCTCCTCCACATCACCACCTCCTCCACATCACCTCCTCCTCCACATCACCTCCTCCTCCACATCACCTCCTCCTCCACATCACCACCTCCTCCACATCACCACCCCCTCCACATCACCTCCTCCTCCACATCACCACCTCCTCCACATCACCTCCTCCTCCACATCACCACCCCCTCCACATCACACTCCTCCACATCACCTCCTCCTCCACATCACCGCCTCCTCCACATCACCACCTCCTCCACATCACCTCCTCCTCCACATCACCTCCTCCTCCACATCACCACCTCCTCCACACCACCACCTCCTCCACACCACCACCTCCTCCACATCACCACCTCCTCCACATCACCTCCTCCTCCACATCACCACCTCCTCCACATCACCTCCTCCTCCACATCACCACTTCCTCCACATCACCTCCTCCTCCACATCACCTCCTCCTCCACATCACCTCCTCCTCCACATCACCACCCCCTCCACATCACCTCCTCCACATCACCTCCTCCTCCACATCACCTCCTCCTCCACATCACCACCTCCTCCACATCACCTCCTCCTCCACATCACCTCCTCCTCCACATCACCACCTCCTCCACACCACCACCTCCTCCACATCACCACCTCCTCCACATCACCACCTCCTCCACATCACCACCTCCTCCTCCACATCACCTCCTCCTCCACATCACCACCACCTCCTCCACATCACCACCACCTCCTCCACATCACCACCTCCTCCACATCACCTCCTCCTCCACATCTCCACCTCCTCCTCCACATCACCTCCTCCTCCACATCACCACCACCTCCTCCACATCACCACCACCTCCTCCACATCACCACCTCCTCCACATCACCTCCTCCTCCACATCTCCACCTCCTCCTCCACATCACCACCACCTCCTCCACATCACCTCCTCCTCCACATCACCTCCTCCTCCACATCACCTCCTCCTCCACATCACCTCCTCCTCCACATCACCACCCCCTCCACATCACCTCCTCCTCCACATCACCACCTCCTCCACATCACCTCCTCCTCCACATCACCACCCCCTCCACATCACCTCCTCCACACCTCCTCACATCCTCCTCCTCCTCCACACATCACCGCCTCCTCCACATCCCACTCCACACCACCTCCTCCTCCACATCACCTCCTCCTCCACACATCCACCACACCTCCCTCCACATCACATCACCTCCTCCACATCACCTCCTCCTCCACATCACCACCTCCTCCACATCACCACCATCCTCCACATCACCACCTCCTCCACATCACCACCTCCTCCACATCACCACCTCCTCCTCCACATCACCACCTCCTCCACCTCGTCCACATCACCACCTCCTCCACATCACCACCATCCTCCTCCACATCACCACCTCCTCCACCTCGTCCACATCACCACCTCCTCCACATCACCACCTCCTCCACATCACCACCTCCTCCTCCACATCACCACCTCCCTCCACCTCCTCCACATCACCTCCTCCTCCACATCACCACCTCCTCCATCATCCACACCTCCACATCACCTCCACCTCCTCCACATCACACCACCTCCTCCACATCCACCACCTCCTCCACATCACCACCTCCTCCACATCACCACCTCCTCCACATCCACCACCTCCTCCACATCACCACCTCCTCCACATCACCACCTCCTCCACATCCACACCACCTCCTCCACATCACCACCTCCTCCACCTCGTCCACATCACCACCTCCTCCACATCACCACCTCCTCCACATCACCACCTCCTCCACATCACCACCTCCTCCACATCACCCTCCTCCTCCACACCACCACCTCCTCCACATCATCTCCTCCTCCTCCACATCACCACCTCCTCCACATCACCACCTCCTCCACATCACCACCTCCTCCACATCACCACCTCCTCCACATCACCACCTCCTCCACATCACCACCTCCTCCTCCACACCACCACCTCCTCCACATCACCACCTCCTCCTCCACATCACCACCTCCTCCACATCACCACCTCCTCCTCCACATCACCACCTCCTCCTCCACATCACCACCTCCTCCACATCACCACCTCCTCCACATCACCACCCTCCTCCACATCACCACCCCTCCTCCACATCACCTCCTCCTCCACATCACCCTCCATCCTCCACATCACCACCTCCTCCACATCACCTCCTCCTACACATCACCATCCTCCTCCACATCACCACCTCCTCCACATCACCTCACCTCCTCCACATCACCACCATCCTCCTCCACATCACCACCTCCTCCACATCACCCACCTCCTCCTCCACATCACCACCTCCTCCACATCACCTCCTCACTCCACATCACCCTCCTCCTCCACATCACCACCTCCTCCACATCACCACCTCCTCCACATCACCACCTCCTCCTCCACATCACCACCTCCTCCTCCACATCACCTCCTCCTCCACATCACCACCTCCTCCACATCACCACCTCCTCCACATCACCACCTCCTCCTCCTCCACATCACCACCTCCTCCACATCACCACCTCCTCCACATCACCACCACCTCCCCACACCACCACCTCCTCCACATCCATCCACCTCCTCCTCCACATCCCACCCTCCTCCATCACCTCCTCATCATCACCTCCCTCCATCACCTCCTCCATCACCTCCTCCATCACCTCCACACATCACCTCCTCCTCCACATCACCACCACCACCCACACCTCCACCATCACCTCCTCTATCACCTCCTCCATCCACCTCCTCCATCACCACCTCCATCACCTCCACCATCACCTCCTCCATCACCTCCTCCATCACCTCCTCCATCACCTCCTCCATCACCACCTCCATCACCTCCTCCACATCACCTCCTCCTCACATCACCTCCTCCATCACCTCCACCTCACCTCCTCCATCCCACCTCCTCCATCACCTCCTCATCACCTCCTCCATCACCACCTCCTCCATCACCTCCTCCATCACCCCTCCATCACCTCCTCACCCTCCTCCATCACCTCCTCCATCACCTCCTCCATCACCTCCTCCATCACCTCCTCCATCACCTCCTCCTCCCTCCTCCATCACCTCCTCCATCACCTCCTCCATCACCTCCTCCATCACCTCCTCCATCACCTCCTCCATCACCTCCTCCATCACCTCCTCCATCACCTCCTCCTCACCTCCTCCATCACCTCCTCCATCACCTCCTCCATCACCTCCTCATCACCTCCTCCATCACCTCCTCCATCACCTCCTCCATCACCTCCTCCATCACCTCCTCCATCACCTCCTCCATCACCTCCTCCATCACCTCCTCCATCACCTCCTCCATCACCTCCTCCATCACACCACCTCATCACCTCCTCCATCACCTCCTCCATCACCTCCTCCATCACCTCCTCCATCACCTCCTCCATCACCTCCTCCATCACCTCCTCCATCACCTCCTCATCACCTCCTCCATCACCTCCTCCATCACCTCCTCCATCACCTCCTCCATCACCTCCTCATCACCTCCTCCATCACCTCCTCCATCACCTCCTCCATCACCTCCTCCACCTCACCTCACTCCTCATCACCTCCTCCATCACCTCCTCCATCACCTCCTCCATCACCTCCTCCATCACCTCCTCCATCACCTCCTCCATCACCTCCTCCATCACCTCCTCCATCACCTCCTCCATCACCTCCTCCATCACCTCCTCCATCACCTCCTCCATCACCTCCTCCATCACCTCCTCCATCACCTCCTCCATCACCTCCTCCCATCACCTCCTCATCACCTCCTCCATCACCTCCTCCATCACCTCCTCCATCACCTCCTCCATCACCTCCTCATCACCTCCTCCATCACCTCCTCCATCATCACCTCCTCCATCACCTCCTCCATCACCTCCTCATCACCTCCTCCATCACCTCCTCCATCACCTCCTCCATCACCTCCTCCATCACCTCCTCCATCACCTCCTCCATCACCTCCTCCATCACCTCCTCCATCACCTCCTCCATCACCTCCTCATCACCTCCTCATCACCTCCTCCATCACCTCCTCCATCACCTCCTCCATCACCTCCTCCACCTCACCTCCTCCATCACCTCCTCCATCACCTCCTCCATCACCTCCTCATCACCTCCTCATCACCTCCTCCATCACCTCCTCCATCACCTCCTCCATCATCCTCCTCCATCACCTCCTCCATCACCTCCTCCATCACCTCCTCCATCACCTCCTCCATCACCTCCTCCATCACCTCCTCCATCACCTCCTCCATCACCTCCTCCATCACCTCCTCCATCACCTCCTCATCACCTCCTCCATCACCTCCTCCATCACCTCCTCATCACCTCTCTCCTCACCTCCTCCACCATCACCTCCTCCATCACCTCCTCCATCACCTCCTCCATCACCTCCTCCATCACCTCCTCCATCACCTCCTCCATCACCTCCTCCATCACCTCCTCCATCACCTCCTCCATCACCTCCTCCATCACCTCCTCCATCACCTCCTCCATCACCTCCTCCATCACCTCCTCCATCACCTCCTCCCTCACCTCCTCCATCACCTCCTCCATCACCTCCTCCATCACCTCCTCCATCACCTCCTCCATCACCTCCTCCATCACCTCCTCCATCACCTCCTCCATCACCTCCTCCATCACCTCCTCCATCACCTCCTCCATCACCTCCTCCATCACCTCCTCCATCACCTCCTCCATCACCTCCTCCATCACCTCCTCCATCACCTCCTCCATCACCTCCTCCATCACCTCCTCCATCACCTCCTCCATCACCTCCTCCACTCACCCTCCTCCATCACCCTCCTCCATCACCTCCTCCATCACCTCCTCCATCACCTCCTCCATCACCTCCTCCATCACCTCCTCCATCACCTCCTCCATCACCTCCTCCATCACCTCCTCCATCACCTCCTCCATCACCTCCTCCATCACCTCCTCCATCACCTCCTCCATCACCTCCTCCATCACCTCCTCCATCACCTCCTCCATCACCTCCTCCATCACCTCCTCCATCACCTCCTCCATCACCTCCTCCATCACCTCCTCCATCACCTCCTCCATCACCTCCTCCATCACCTCCTCATCACCTCCTCCATCACCTCCTCCATCACCACCCACCCCATCACCTCCTCCATCACCTCCTCCATCACCTCCTCCATCACCTCCTCCATCACCTCCTCCACTCCTCACCCTCCTCCATCACCTCCACCATCACCTCCTCCATCACCTCCTCCATCACCTCCTCCATCACCTCCTCTATCACCTCCTCCATCACCTCCTCCATCCACCTCCTCATCACCTCCTCCATCACCTCCTCCTCATCACTCCACCATCACCTCCTTCATCACCTCCTCCATCACCTCCTCCATCACCTCCTCCATCACCTCCTCCGTCACCTCCTCCATCACCTCCTCCATCACCTCCTATCACCTCCTCCATCACCTCCTCCATCCACCTCCTCATCACCTCCTCCATCACCTCCTCCATCACCTCCACCATCACCTCCTTCCATCACCTCCTCCATCACCTCCTCCATCACCTCCTCCATCACCTCCTCCGTCACCTCCTCCATCACCTCCTCCATCACCTCCTCCATCACCTCCTTATCACCTCCACCATCACCTCCTCCATCACCTCCACCCTCACCTCCTCCATCACCTCCTCCATCACCTCCTCATCACCTCCTCCATCCACCTCCTCCATCACCTCCTCATCACCTCCTCCATCACCTCCTCCATCACCTCCACCATCACCTCCTCCATCACCTCCTCCATCACCTCCTCCATCACCTCCTCTATCACCTCCTCCATCACCTCCTCCATCCACCTCCTCCATCACCTCCTCCATCACCTCCACCATCACCTCCTCCATCACCTCCTCCATCACCTCCTCCAGCACCTCCTCCATCACCTCCTCCGTCACCTCCTCATCACCTCCTCCATCACCTCCTTATCCCTCCTCCATCACCTCCTCCATCACCTCCTCCATCACCTCCTCCATCACCTCCTCCATCACCTCCTCCATCACCTCCTCCATCACCTCCTCCATCACCTCCTCCGTCACCTCCTCCATCACCTCCTCCATCACCTCCTCCATCACCTCCTCCATCACCTCCTCCATCACCTCCTCCATCACCTCCTCCATCACCTCCTCCATCACCTCCTCCAGCACCTCCTCCATCACCTCCTCCGTCACCTCCTCATCCCCTCCTCCATCACCTCCTCATCACCTCCTCCATCACCTCCTCCATCACCTCCTCCATCACCTCCTCCATCACCGTGTGGTTCGCTGGAGCCACAGTCAGGGACAAACAGAGACTACAGTGCATTGTGCGCTCTGCAGAGGAAGTGATCGGCCGCAGCCTTCCATCGCTGCAGGACCTGTACGTCGCCCGAGCTCGAGGCCGGGCTGGTCGTATCACAGCCGACCCCTCTCACCCTGCACATGGACTATTCCAACCACTCCCCTCTCACCTGCACATGGACTATTCCAACCACTCCCCTCTCACCTGCACATGGACTATTCCAACCACTCCCCTCTCACCTGCATATGGACTATTCCAACCACTCCCCTCTCACCTGCACATGGACTATTCCAACCACTCCCCTCTCACCTGCACATGGACTATTCCAACCACTCCCCTCTCACCTGCACATGGACTATTCCAACCACTCCCCTCTCACCTGCACATGGACTATTCCAACCACTCCCCTCTCACCTGCACATGGACTATTCCAACCACTCCCCTCTCACCTGCACATGGACTATTCCAACCACTCCCCTCTCACCTGCACATGGACTATTCCAACCACTCCCCTCTCACCTGCACATGGACTATTCCAACCACTCCCCTCTCACCTGCACATGGACTATTCCAACCACTCCCCTCTCACCTGCACATGGACTATTCCAACCACTCCCCTCTCACCTGCACATGGACTATTCCAACCACTCCCCTCTCACCTGCACATGGACTATTCCAACCACTCCCCTCAGGCAGGAGGCTGCGGTCCATCAGGACTAGAACCTCCCGCCACAAGAACAGTTTGTTCCCCTCTGCTGTTGGACTCTTGAACACTTCTTAACCTGTCCCCCCGCCCTTTATAACCCTTTATTTTTTTATTATCTCTTTCTGACTGTTGCACTGAGCCAAAGCAATTTCCAAGTCTGTGACTTCTGTTACTTACGTGGCAATAAAAATTATTCTGATTCTGATATAAAGGGCAGAAAAGTGACTTTATAAAGGGCAGAAAAGTGACTTTATAAAGGGCAGAAAAGTGACTTTATAAAGGGCAGAAAAGTGACTTTATAAAGGGCAGTAAGTGACTTTATAAAGGGCAGTAAAGTGACTTTATAAAGGGCAGTAAGGTGACTTTATAAAGGGCAGAAAGGTGACTTTATAAAGGGCAGTAAGTGACTTTATAAAGGGCAGTAAAGTGACTTTATAAAGGGCAGAAAAGTGACTTTATAACGGGCAGAAAAGTTACTTTATAAAGGGCAGTAAAGTGACTTTATAAAGGGCGGTAAGTGACTTTATAAAGGGCAGTAAGTTACTTTATAAAGGGCAGTACAGTGACTTTATAAAGGTCAGTAAGTGACTTTATAAAGGACAGTCAGTGACTTTATAAAGAGCAGAAAAATTACTTTATAAAGGGCAGTAAGTGACTTTATAAAGGGCAGAAAAGTGACTTTATAAAGAGCAGTAAGTGACTTTATAAAGGGCAGTAAGTGACTTTATAAAGGGCAGTAAGTGACTTTATAAAGGGCAGTAAAGTGACTTTATAAAGGGAAGAAAAGTGACTTTATAAAGGGCAGAAAAGCGTTTATAAAGGGCAGAAAGTGACTATATAAAGGGCATAAAAGTAACTTTATAAAGGGCAGAAAAGTGACTTTATAAAGGGCAGAAAAGTAACTTTATAAAGGGCAGTAAAGTGACTTTATAAAGGGAAGAAAAGTGACTTTATAAAGGGCAGTAAATTTACTTTATAAAGGACAGAAAAGTGACTTTATAAAGGACAGAAAAGTGACTTTATAAAGGGCAGTAAATTTACTTTATAAAGGACAGAAAAGTGACTTTATAAAGGACAGAAAAGTGACTTTATAAAGGGCAGTAAAGTGACTTTATAAATGGCAGTAAAGTGACTTTATAAAGGGCAGTAAAGTGACTTTATAAATGGCAGTAAAGTGACTTTATAAAGGGCAGTAAAGTGACTTTATAAATGGCAGTAAAGTGACTTTATATCACTGGTTTTGTTAAACAGGAGACCTCTGTGAGAACTGTGAAGAAACGACGTCTAACCCCTGAAGTGGCTGCAAATTTTATGGACATTCTAAATAACACTCCTCAGTTGGTTTTACCTGCCCCCTGTGATTTTATAGCAGATGATTTTAACAGTAGACTAAGAACTACACTGGATCAGGTTGCTCCATTAAAAATTGTAAGCATTCAACAAAAATCTATAGCCCCTTGGAAAAATGAGGAAGCAAGGAGTATGAAAAGACAGTGCAGGGTGGCAGAGCGAAGATGGAGAAAAAATAAAACGACAATCAATCACGAAATATATAAAAACCGACAGCAAATTTACAACAACACAATCAGGAAAAACAGGAACAATTACTTTGCAAAACTAATCAGCCAGAACAAAAATAATCCAAAAATCCTCTTTTCAACCATCGACACCATTTTAAACCCTGATTTTAGCATGTCTCTTTTAACCCCCACAGACTCCCTCTGTGAGGAGCAGTCCACTTCACGGGGAAGATAAACACAATCAGATGTAACATTTTATCCAACCGCACTACTGTTTTTAACACATCTGATTGTTTGTCTTCGCCAGAGGAAACACTGGACAGTTTTGTCCTGGTTGATGCTGAGATGCTTGATAAAGTTTTCTCCTCAGTGAGGCCCACCACATGTCTTTTAGATCCAGTCCCCACTCCATTTTTTAAGTCATTTTATGAATCTTTTAGAGAGGAGCTTTTAAACCTGATGAATTGCTCTCTTCAGACTGGGGTCTTTCCTGCAGCCTTCAAAGCGGCTGTGGTGAGACCCCTTCTGAAGAAGAGCAATTTAGATTTTAATGATTTTAACAACTACAGACCGGTATCCAACTTACCATTTTTAAGCAAAATTTTAGAAAAACTTGTTTTTACCCAGCTCAATGCCTTTTTAGATCAGCAGCAAATTTTAGAGAAATTTCAATCAGGATTTAGGGTGAACCACAGCACAGAGACTGCTCTTTTAAAGATTTTAAATGATTTTAGACTAAATTATGATTCTAAAAAGGTGACTGTGTTGGTTCTACTGGATCTAAGCGCTGCCTTCGACACAGTAGACCACACCATTCTTTTATCACGCCTACAACACCTCGGCCTCTCTGGTACTGTCCACAAATGGTTCACTTCTTATTTAACAGACAGATCCTTCATGGTAAGTTTGGATACCTGCTCCTCTCAGGTCCATAAAATCACATGTGGTGTGCCCCAGGGTTCCATTTTAGGTCCAGTCCTTTTTAAACTGTACATGCTCCCTCTTGGCGGTGTCGTCAGGAGACATGGAATTGACTTCCACAGTTATGCAGATGATACTCAGCTGTACATCTCCATGTCTCCTGATGACACCAGGCCAATGGATGCTCTTTTTAACTGCATTTTAGACCTGAAATCCTGGATGGCAGAAAACTTTCTCCAGCTCAACCAGGACAAAACTGAGGTTCTAGTCATCGGTCCTGAGGCCCAGAGAGAGAAACTTTTATCAAAACTCCAATCACACTCTTTTAATCCATCATCACAAGTGAAAAATCTGGGCGTAATTTTTGACTCTGAGCTGACTTTTATTCCTCACATCAAGAACATCACAAAAATAGGTTTTTATCATTTAAAGAACATCGCCAGAGTCCGCCCCATTCTCTCTCGGGGCAACACGGAGACGCTGATGCTTTTATCACCAGTCGCATTGACTACTGTAATGCCCTGCTCTCTGGTCTTCCCAAAAAGAACATTTCAGGTTTACAATTACTTCAAAACTCGGCCGCACGTGTCCTGACTAAGACCAGGGGGCGTGTCCTGACTAAGACCAGGAGGCGTGTCCTGACTAAGACCAGGGGGCGTGTCCTGACTAAGACCAGGGGGCGGGACCACATTACACCGGTTTTACAATCGCTGCATTGGCTCCCCGTGTGTTTCAGGATCGATTGTAAGGTTCTTTTAATGGTTTTTAAATGTCTTAATGGTCTTGGGCCTTCTTATCTTTCAGATTTGCTTTTATCCTATGAACCTTCCCGGCCCCTGCGCTCCTCCGGCAGCAGACTCCTAACCATCCCCAAAGTCAGGACACACACTCACGCCGAGGCATCTTTCCAGCACAACGGCCCCCGTCTCTGGAACAGTCTGAGGAGGAGCTCAGGGCCGCAGAGAACGTTCATATTTTTAAGAGTAGGCTCAAGACGCACCTTTTTAGATTAGCTTTTGATTAGTATTTATTATCTATTATTGCTTTTTAGTACATCTATTTATGTTTTTAGACGGATTATATTTTTATTTATTTTTATTATTTACTATTTTTAATTATTTATTGTATCTACCCATTTACTATTGTTATTATATTAGGCAGCTGCCATTTTTCTTTTTATTTTCACATTTTATTGTTCTACTTTCTATTGTATTATTGTATTGTTTTAGTGTCCCCAGTGTTTCCTCTGGAGGAGCCCTCTGCACTGAGAGCTGGGGTCTGCTGTGGCTTCGGGGGACTGGCTCTTGGATCCGGTGGGGGTTTGGGGCCCCTCTCTCCTCTGGGTCCTATGGGGTCTGAGTCCTGGGCCTGGTGGGGTCTGGGGCCCCTCTCTCCTCTGGGTCCTATGGGGTCTGAGTCCTGGGCCTGGTGGGGCCTGGGGCCCCTCTCTCCTCTGGGTCCTATGGGGTCTGAGTCCTGGGCCTGGTGGGGTCTGGGGCCCCTCTCTCCTCTGGGTCCTATGGGGTCTGAGTCCTGGACCTGGTGGGGTCTAGGGCCCCTCTCTCCTCTGGGTCCTATGGGGTCTGAGTCCTGGGCCTGGTGGGGTCTGGGGCCTCCTCTCTCCTCTGGGTCCTATGGGGTCTGAGTCCTGGACCTGGTGGGGTCTGGGGCCTCCTCTCTCCTCTGGGTCCTATGGGGTCTGAGTCCTGGGCCTGGTGGGGCCTGGGGCCCCTCTCTCCTCTGGGTCCTATGGGGTCTGAGTCCTGGGCCTGGTGGGGTCTGGGGCCCCTCTCTCCTCTCTGGGTCCTATGGGGTCTGAGTCCTGGGCCTGGTGGGGTCTAGGGCCCCTCTCTCCTCTGGGTCCTATGGGGTCTGAGTCCTGGGCCTGGTGGGGTCTAGG